ATGTAGAAATCCAGCTGCTCCCATAGCCCGGGAGGGAAGCCCTTCACATAGAAGGGTGGCAACTTAACTTTTTTCGGCACCGTCTCAGGGTCCGACTGCGGCTGGGCTCCGTTCTGCAGGGCCGAGAACGGATTGTTGCTCAGCAGCTTTTTTGCTGCTGATGCGGTGGCGCTGCTGTCTTCAGGTCTGGGTCGTTTAGTTCCGGGAGGCCCCGGCTGCGGGTCCGCAACGCCTGTCGGGATGGGCAATGGGGTTTTATTCTGCTTCTTCTGGGCTGGCTCGGTGGTCGCGCCGTCTCCTGGGAGAGTCTGTTTTCCCGGTAAACCGGCACTCGCGTTACCGCGCGATTTCTTACCCATGGCTGGGTCAGCGAGAGCGTCACTACACAACGCGGAGCTAATTCGACTTGCGAACGAACGAACGAAACTAGAGAGAATTCAAATCGACTGAACTGCTCAACAGTCTGGCAGCGAATGTTATAACTCTGTAGTCTGAACGTACTATAAGCCACCAATTCTATTAGATAGGAAGACTCTCCCTCTATACATAATCATCGTGGTGATTTACTTGAGTGGTTTTCCATTCTCGAGAAATTCGCGGAATTAGTCATTGTTTACGTTTGCGACATTGGCTCTTATGACAGAGAAGCAGATATATGGTTGCATGCTCAGTAAAGCTGGGTTTAGACAGGGCAAGTCAATTGATCAAGTCAGTTGAATTCAACTGACTTGAACGCGAATTGAACGTGTAAACCATGCCATTCAACTGACTTGATCAACTCACTTGAATTGAAAAAAGTTGAACCACGCTCAACTTTGCAAGCCAATTGAATTCAACTGAGTTGATCATTTGAGTTGCCTAGTCTAAACCCAGCTTAAGCATTGACGATTTTCGACGACTCTGCATTGCAACTCTTTACTCCTATGGTAAAATCCCACAAACATCTGTGCATGACATCTACACGCTAACTTGAAAGTACTCATTAATGAGTAAAAAAAAGACCCATTTTGAAGAAAAGTGGCTTAACTCATTAATGATTAAACAATTCTACCCATTAATGAGTATCTGTTACCCATTAATGATTAACAATTACTCATTAATGGGTAACAGATACTCATTAATGGGTAAAAAATTTACTCATTTAATGAGTTACGCCACTTTTCTTCAAAATGGGTCTTTTTCAACCATTAATGGGTACTTTCAAGTTAGCGTGTAGCGAACTTTGCATTATTTCTCTTCACTCCACCACACGGTAACCGAAAAATACCCAATAATGACTATATAAGACTCGATATTGACTACAAAGTAAGCATTTTCGAGGGAGACTGGGGCTACCCCTTAAATGAGTAAAAAGATTACCCATATACAGTGGGGGAAATTCGTTTAAACGCAATGTCATTTTTGCGTTTATTTTCAACACAAAAGATCGAGACAAAAAATCAAATATAGTTTGTCATAGCCCATCAGAAGTCTCGTATTTGAGAACACAATTTGATTGGAAGTTCATAATGACTTTTGAAAAAATCCCAAAAAAGGTGATTTTGGGGGGGAAATTCGTTTAAACGCACTTTTAGTTTTATTAATCAAATCGAGTTCACAGTTCAAAAATCAACAATAAACAATAGTTAATACTTCGTTTGCTTTCCGTTTTTCTGAATAGTTTCGAAAATTCTGTTCGGCATTGATTTCACCAGCTTCTGCAGAGTTGTATCAGGTATCAAGCTCCAGGCTTCTCTTAGGGCTGACTCAAGTTCACGAACTGTTTTAAACTGCCTTCCGCCTTTGTAAACCTGTCGTGCCAGGATGCCCCACAAGTTCTCGATAGGATTTAGATCCGGACTACGAGCTGGCCAATCCAAAAGACTGATGTCTCGTTCAGAAAACCATTTCAAAGATTGCTTGCTGACATGAATTGCTGCATTATCCTGTTGAAATACGAAATTTTCCGGCATAACGTCTTCAGTAAACGGGATCAAAACATCTTCCAGAAGCTCCAAGTACTTTCCCGAATTCATCCTGGTTGAAATGGTGGCAATAGGGGTCTTTCCATGGATCGAAAAAGCGGCCCAACACATTAGAGTACCACCTCCAAAGTTCCTGCTCAACTTAACCTGCGGAGATTTCCTCAAATCGTGCCAATAATATGCGGTGCAGTCTGGGCCGTCCAAATTGAATTTCTTCTCGTCAGAAAAAATAACATTGTCCCATTCCGTAGTCCAAGACATGTATTTTTTAGCGAAATTCAATCTGGCGCTAATGTGGGCCGGTTGAAGATTGGGTTTTTTTGCTTTTTTGGTGTACTTTAAGTGGCCACTTCCATGTAGAATCTGCCGTACACGCCTCTTAGAAATGGAAAGCCCCATTTCTTGCTTGATTTGCGCAGCAGAGAAGTTTCCAGAGTCTCCCATTTGTATGATTTGGTTTCGGACACGGTTGGTGATCTTCGAATTTCCCTTTGTTTTCTTTTTTACGCCATACGTCTTGCCTTTTTTCAGCAGGTTCCTGATTGCTGCTTCCGATCTGTGGATCACACGTGCAATTTTGCGATTGCTCTCACCGCGACTTTTGAGTTCTCGAACCAGTATTTGCTCCGACTGGCTTAAATACTTTCCTTTACCCATTTTGCCGAAAACAAGCAACAACTACCGCGCAACGCAAATTTAAACTCCTGTTAATGGCGAACGAGGGCTATACAGTGTAAATATGACAGATGCGCAAGATAACAGGAGCATAGGTACGCTCAATGCGGCTTTACGTTAGTGTGCGTTTAAACGAATTTCCCCTCTAAAATCACCTTTATTGGATTTTTTCAGAGACCACAATGAACTTCCGTTCAAATTGTGTTCTCAAATACGAGACTTCTGATGGGCTATGACAAACTATATTTGATTTTTTGTCTCGATCTTTTGTGTTGAAAATAAACGCAAAAATGACATTGCGTTTAAACGAATTTCCCCCACTGTATAAGTGTTTGTTACTCACAAATGAATACTTACTACTTATTTTTGTAGTTGTAATTTCTCATAAATGGGTAAAATTTTACTCATTTAATGGGTAGTCCTAGTTTCCCTCGAAAATGCTTACTTTGTAGTCATTATTGGGTATTTTGCGGTTACCGTACATGGTACCAGTGAATGAGACCCTTTAGCCCATTCTATTCGATAATAAAAAAAAAAATCCCCATTTTCAAATTTTGTAAATGCTCTGGATAATCAGAAAAGCTAAATTACAGTGTTAGTATTTTATTCATAACTCAACAACGGTAGATGTCACCACTTTGAAAATTTCACCAGTAAAAGAAAAAAGGATGTTGAACAAGAAAAAAATAATTTGAAAATTTTTTATAACTCAGAAAATGTTTTTTTTCTCAATTTTATTGCTATTTTTCATTGCCGTGAAAAGTTTTGAGAAAAAACATATCCAGGACATATTTTAAATCGATTACTGAGAAAATTTACTTGATTTTTTACCAGACAATGCTATTCCTACAATGTATGGTTTGAAAGTTATGAATTTTCAAAGTATGTCACATCCGGAAAAATCAGAAAACTTAAATTAAAATTTTCCGAGAAAATTAACCCCCTAGAATTTTTTAGATTTTTTTTTCGTTTTAAGAACCATGAAATCTACCAGTGAAATATTTGTTAAATAAAAATCTGAGACCTTCGGCCCATTTCGTCCGATAATAAAAAATAAAAAAAAACCCCAGTGACTTGAGGCAATGGATGTCGGAGAAAGGGATGGGATTGGACCATCAGGGTACCTGATTGAAGCGATTTGGTTAGAAAGAGTGAAATGGTCAACTTCCTGTTGTGAACATTGCGTGAATTGAAGGTGGGTTCTTCTCCCCACTCGTTGGGACATCCCCTCGTATGATGGCTTGTTCTGTATCCGGTTGGAACATTTTTACTATTGGAAGGAGATTCTTCTTGCTCCCGTGGATCACGCGTAAGTGTCTCTGCTGTTTTGCCAGAGATCATCTATCTTGTCTGATATGGTTGACTGGTAATATTGTCTGGGATGTTCACTGGTCTACTACGGATTTCGGTTCCGCACGATACTACTTCAACGCATTGCCCTCATACAGGCAAATCAACGCTTCTTCCCATCTCCTCGCGGTAGGCATTTGTGCATGGTAAGAACGCTTACGGCGCATAAGGATAAATCTTATGCTTTTACTCACTGCTCGATCGGTTGGATAATACCGAAGAACTACGCTACGACCATCGACGACGACGACGACGACGACGACGGCGATATGTTTGGACTATCGTTCGATCGTTGGTTTGTTCGCTCGCGCGAAAGACGATAGAATCGATTGAAGGAAGCACTTCACCAACGACAACAACGACGACGCCACAGAAGAAGAAACACCGCCGCGCGAAAGAAAGCACCAGAAAGGCACGGCGACGTCGGTGGAGAGAGAACTGAAGGCGAAAGAAAGAAGATCTCCGGTGCAAGATTTATGCTCGCTCGGTGGCATGCAGGGTGGGTGGCACACAGGGAAGGCTCTCGGCCGTGGCTATGCGGGTATATTGGCTGTGTGTGTATGTGTGGATGAGCTGCATTCCCACCGCCTGGGAGCAAGCGAGACGGGATGATCGCTGGAGAAGGCTCGGAGGTTCCCGTAGGATCGTTTTGTTCGTTTCGCGCACCGATCCGGGCACTTGGCCAGGTCCAGAGGAAGAGCTGATCGTCACTGGCGGCCCGGGTCGTCGATCAGTTGTGCAAGATCGCTCGAAGAAATATGTTGGATTTGGTTTAGCTGCCGAGTGGGTTCAATATTCTTTCTTTTTTTTTTGCCTGTACAAAAGAGATTGTGTGTTGAATTTGAGAAGTTTGAGCAGAAACTGTGTGAAATTGGTGAATTTGCGCGAACGTGGAATTCAGTGATTTAAGGAAAAGTTCCTGAAGCGTCCCCCAAGGGGGGCTGTTCGGTTGAACTTTTTTCAAATCATTTGGCATATTTTTTTGAATTTTGTGTTATTTTTTTTTTTTGGTTAGAAAAGGAAAAGTTTCGAAGTGTGATAGCTTTGGGAATTCGATCCTGACCGAGGAATAAAAGTGTGTATTCAGTGTCAGCGGGAAGAGAATCGCGAAGCAGAACCGTCAAGTTTCCATCTGAGGAGAAATTCAAGTCACTTGCGACCAACAGCGACCAAAAGAGGCGTCCGGACGGAAAGCAGTGAGATGAAGTCGATAATTTTATGTGTCTCGTTTGTGCTGGCGTGCGTTGCAGGTACGTGTGTGCTTCTTTCTTGTAATGTTTGAACGAGCTGTTTATAGGTAGTATCTTCTGATGCATATGGTTTCAAGGGAATCATCGGATCCTAAGCTAATATTTGAACTGTTTTCGTCTTTCGGGGAAGGTGCCAGGTGGTGAGGCAACAAGACAAGTGTGTGGGGAAGGTGTTCTTTTCGTCGACTGACGACACCCACGATGATGACGCTTGTGGTTGCACGCTCGAGGGATGGAACTTTGAGGTGGTGTTTTTTTTTTGTTTTGCTCGAGGCTCCTTTACGTTTGAAGGTACATATTAGATGGTATCGTTAGCCGGGGTGATGTTTGCTGAAAATATTATCGCACCACAGTGAGATGAAGCTGTTCCTCGTGTGGATTGTGGTTGAGCATGGGGAATTATCCTTTGGAATAGCTTGGCTGGATATTTCGTAGGAGACGTGAGAAAATAAACGAATTCTGGTTGAGAATTGCCGGTTTTGTAATTACCTTGTAAGCTAGGTTTAATGGGATTTGCTAGGAAAATGTAGGAATTATCGTTGCAGACACATTTTTAGACCAGTGTGGACGTCATCGATCAATTGGTAAAGCGACGAACCTCTGTTATGCAGAAAATGAGAAGTCATGTGGTAACATTTGCCATACTGTTGCATATCCACTATGGGGCATTTTCATACAACCAGGCGGTCAAAAATATTTCTATAATTTTTTCACAATTTCTGCTATTATTCTTGCTTTGTTTCATCAATATAAGGTGTGCGTTATCACTTTTCAACATTTTCACTACCAACTTTTGAAAAGGGCCTAACTTTTGATTAATTAAAATTTAATTTTAACGATTTTATAACGGTTACAGTTTCAAGCTTGTTTTCAGAGAATAAAATCTATTGAACAAAGACAACCTACCATGGTTTTATTGGGGGGAACACCGTAAAAAATAAAAAAAAACCTTTTTTTTTGGAAATATGTTTATTTTTTTCAACAAATCTTCTGTAAAAAAATACAAAAAGCCATGATACAATAATCAAAATCAAATATGTTTCAACAAATTTCTTTTCATTCCTCTGTTACAATATCATCATTAACAAATTCTTCTTCAATTTCATCGACTGCTTTCATAAGTTCCTCCAAGGCATTGAAGTTATTAGTATCGACTACTGAATCACTTACAGAATTTTCAAATATCATGAAACTTTTCACGATGTCGGGATAATCCAGGGGTACTTTTTTCTGTCGTCTTTTTGCCATTCAAATGGAACTGATCAGTGGGTCCGATTCATTAATGGCACGAATAAAGACATCATGTAAATTTTCTACTCTTGATCGTTTTCTTGCATTATGGGTTCGATATTTTTTCAATTGTTTATGTTGACTTTCTGCTGCCTTTTCCGCTAATGAACCAAGTGGTGCTGGTGAATGTATGATTATTTCTCCGGCATGAGCGAGAACTTTATGCACGGTTGCAGGAATTTTGTACCAATCATACAATTTAAGATAGAGCCTATATGTTTCCTTGCAATATGCATCAAATTTTTCCGGGTTTATTGGCTCTTGGCAGTTAATAGCAATTAATATATTCCGGAATCTGAAAATTAACTCTTTATCAATGTTCAGCACGGAGCTTAAAAGCTTGGGATTTCCAAATGCTCTTCGACAAACGTTTCCTGTAGTACTGGTACCTGCTCCACCCGATCGTGGTTGATCTACTCTTACTCCAAATTTTTCGTAAAGCTGTGTCGTCACATGTTTTTTTCTTTGTTCATATAGTTCTTTGAACAGTTTCGTTACCTTCCATTTTTTTAAATCCATTCTGTATGCAATATGCAGAAGGCATTCGAAAAATCTTATCCAAGCATCAAGTGGAGATATGCCGTAATGCAAGGCTTCTTCGTTTGATATAAATCCTTCCTCGAATTTCTCTGCATCATTCATTACATTTGGTGTTGCCCCACATATTGGACAATTCTGCATCGACGAATTTCCAGTGATATAAGTTAAGACTTTTCCGTCTATCATACTGAGGACAAAATCAAAATCAACAAGTATAAACTTGTCGTTTGAGAGTTCAATTTTCACTGGCGTTAGTTCACTCATTTCTTTTTCTACATCCTGTTTTGTAGCCAGAATAACTTCTTTACTATCTTTAATGAATTCAAGGATGAATGGCCTACAAAATCGAATACTTTGAGGCATGGGATTAAACCACATAATTTCCTTTCGATCATTGTACATGAACAACTGAATTGGTGTTAAAGTGGACGAAAATACATCTGAATCGTCCTGATATCCTTCTGGTTGCACTTGATGATATTGCGAATATCCAGTTGATCCGTCCATACCCCAGCTACATAGATGAACCAGTTCCGTAGAAACTAGATCGTTGCTATCCATATACTCGTTGAGCTCTGCATCAATTATTTGGACGATTCGTTTCACTGTAATTTTCCATCAGCGCCTGGAGTTTCACTCTTATTTTCAATGCACTTTCTTCGATCAATTCACTAGGAGGGGCGCATATTTTTTTCACTGCTCCGATCACATAGTAAGGTGGAAATCTTGAAGGTGATTCACTATGTATTACTTCGTATTGAAATCTACTCAATCCAGCCTCGATAAGTACACTAAAAGCCTCTTCTGGTGACATCATTCCTCGTTGATCAGTTAGTTGAGCCAGCATGGTTTTAGAGCTTTTTTGGTTTTTTTTTAAATATGCCCAATAACTTTAACTAAATTAAAATCCTTTCGATTATAAGCGGTCCGTCTTGCATATAACAAAGCTTTCTCGATGGTATCGAATTTTGGATCAACTGCTTCTTTATCAATGACGCGACGTTTTCCTCTTTCACTCAAATTTAAGAAAGGTTTTGAAGGTCGTCCACGTTTTGTTCCCGAGGACGAGGTTGAGGCAACACATTGCTCCTGTTCGATGAATTCCTCGATGCCAAATTCTCCGTCAAGCCAATTCCGAAAATACGACTCAAATCGCTCTTTCGTGCGATTAGCTTCATGCCATTTGTTGATGTATTTAGTAGCGATTTTATGGATCTTTTCATCGAGACGTTTACGTTTTTCCACCGAGATGTTATAATTTTCACAAATGAATTCAATGGCTCTGTGAACATTGTCACTATGGCTTAATTTTGCGTCTAATAGATTAATAATGGTTCTATTATCCATGCTCACACTTGGTCTCAACCGTAAATTTGAATTAAAGGGTGTCCACGATGAAATTGCCACGCTATGAAATTGCTCTAACTTTTTAACCGTTGGGTAGAATTTAATGAAAATTTTTGTGGATTTAGTTCATAGTGCATTATTTACATCCTGCAAGTTTTAAAGTCCTGTGATCAAAACTCGCGGAAATGGAGTCGAAAGAACAGCTCGTGCGTGATAAAATCTTGCGAATTCATCACGAGAACAAGGATCTCTCGCATCGTTCCATCGCTAAAACGTTGGGAATCGCGAATTCCACGGTGTCGCGAGTGATTAAGCGGTTCGAGGAACGGTTGACCACCGATCGGAAGCCCAGAAGTGAAGGAAAAAGTATTCCGTACAACACCAAAAATCACAACCGCGTAGTTGGGGCCTTCAACCGAAATCCGAACGCCTCCGTTAGGGATGTGGCTAAGAAGCTGCACCTAAGCCGAAGTTTTGTCCAGAAGGCCAAAACTAAGGCTGGGCTTCGAACGTTCAAGGTACAAAAGGCCCCTAATCGCGACGAGAAGCAGAACAAGTCCGCCAAAACCCGTGCCAGGAAGTTGTACCTCAACATGCTGACGAAAGTTGAATGCTGCATCATGGACGACGAAACATATGTGAAGGCCGACTTCAAACAGATCCCCGGCAACCTGTTTTTCACGGCCAAGGATAAGTTCAGCGTTCCGGAGCATGTCCGCACTCAGAAGATGTCCAAATTTGCGAAGAAATTCCTGGTTTGGCAAGCCATCTGCACGTGCGGGAAGCGGAGTGCACCTTTCGTGACCCAGGACACGATGAACGGACAGGTGTACATAAAAGAGTGCCTCCAGAAGCGGCTGCTTCCTCTCCTGAAGGCCCACAACGTCCCAACAATCTTCTGGCCGGATTTGGCCTCATGCCACTACTCCAAGGACGTGCTGAAGTGGTATGCGGACAATAAGATCAATTTCGTGCCGAAAATGTTCAACCCTCCCAACACTCCGGAGCTCCGCCCCATCGAGAAGTACTGGGCGATTATGAAGCAGCACCTTCTTAAACGACCTAAGGTAGTGAAGACAGTCGAGGAACTGAAGAAAGTATGGGTTTACATGCAAAAAACGGTTGATTCACAGGTTGTGCAGAATCTTATGGCCGGGGTTAAGGCCAAGGTGCGGGCATTTGCGTATGGACTGTAAATAAAATACGAGTAAAATGGTAAAATGAAGTTTAATAGTTATTTCTCAATCCCTGAAAATTTGATGGCAATCGGATGAAAACTCGAATTTTGCGAATCAATTTTGTGTGTGGCAATTTCATCGTGGACACCCTTTACACTGTAGTAGTTTAAATAAAAGCTACACAAAATACACTATGGCTTCAAATTGACACTACAGCAGGTTAAGTACAGACTCAGGTATAAATTAAACTCATCCGCGCATATGCGTAGGTACATACTTACGCATATGCTTCTATAATCGTCATAGCCCAGGTACTTACTTTAGAATAAAGCATAAACGAATGTAGTTTTACGTTCATCCAACAGTGAACTTTATGATAATGATGACTTCTATTTGTACAAAAGCTTAAGCCCTTTTTAAAAGTTGGTCATGAAATATTAGAAAATGTTCTTTAACAATATATTTCGACTATACCAACCGAATATAACTCCAAAAGTTGCAAAATAATTGTTGAAAAAGTTTGTTTCCAAGCCGGCTCTTGTACAATTTGAAATCTCCCATAATAACCGAAAATTTTCAAATCGCTTATATTTCCAATGAGGCAGGTTGGGGCAGGCAAACTCTTCAGTACTTGTTAGAGTACAC